TCCTCCAAGAACAAGACCCCCTGCAGTCCTGTCACTCGCCACCTCACACCCATCAGTACCTGTTCACCACTATGTCCCTTGCTAGACTACAGGCCCCAGGAAGACAGAGTCAGTCTCACTGTGGTAACCACTGCTCCCAAGCACCTGATGCCAGCAATTACTGCCATGGAAGGACCACATGCTATCAGATGGCACAACTGAGAGTCATCAAGGAAGGTTACCTGATCTCCAGGGAGGGTCTGTATTTATTTAAGGTAAGAATATTCAACATCCTGGGGTATTTTCTACCAAAAAAGGCTGAATAAAGTTTTGGCCCTTTAAAAAAAGAAAAAAAAACCACCTCACCGCTATTGAGTTGATTTGACTCATAGCGACCCCTCCTGGGGTTTCCGAGGCAGTATCCCTATGGAAGTAGCTTGCCCAGTCTTCCTTCCGAGAAGTGGCTGGTGGATTGGAACCATCAGCCTTCTAGTTAGCAGTCAGATGCCTTAGGCACTGCGCCAGCAGAGCTCCTTTGGCCCTTTAGGTAATGATATTTTTATTATTAGAAGAAATTTCCTTCTAAACTCTTCACTCCTCCATAGCCCAAGATTATCTCCTGCATTCTGCTTCGTGCCCTAAAACAATGCATTAACACGCATCAGTCACTGGTGCCACCAGCAAATGATGAGCAAGCCCCCAAATCTGAGCTGCTAAATCCAAACCCTGAGGAAAACATGGAGCCCACCTCACCGTCCTCTTTAAAGAGTAAAAGCTCTTCAAGAAGAAGTGGGGGCAGTGGGGAGGACTGATGCCTGAAATGCAGAGAAAACCGCTGTGAAATGAGGAACTAACACCCCCACCTGCACCCATCCCTCCCTGGTTTATTTATTGAGAAGAAATAAGATCAGAGCTGCTGGAAGGAGGACCCAAGGAGGGACAGTACCGAGGACAGATGGCTGTGTCACAGGGTGGCAAATCATGGAAGATGAAGGAAGCCAACACAGGAAGCAGACGAGAAGCAGACACCAGGAACCAGACGCAGCAATCAGACGGGAAACAGATGGGAAGTAGACATAGAAAGCAGACAGGTAACAGACACAGGAAGTAGACGGGGCTGTAGCTGAGGCTGTGTGTCAACTTGGCTGGGCAGCTGGACGTAGGGATTCCCCGTGATGAGACTGGTTATCAGCTCCATGGTGCAACCTACAGTGAGCAGCCGATAGGGATGTGCTTTGCTTCCAGTATATAAAGGAGAAGCTTTGAAAAAGGTTTCTGAGCTTTTTGGCACATCTGGATCCTGTATTTGGCTGAGTCTTCATCTCAGTGGCCTGCCATATTGTCTTCCAATGCTGAGAACATTTCTGGACTTGAACTAGTTGCTTAATCACCTTGGGACTGTGACATTTTACTTGCCGACCTTGGGTCTGTCAGCCTCAGCAGCCAGCAGGTACCTGAGTTCAGAGACACCTCCAGCTCCAGTGGGCCAGGAGCAAGAAGCAGAGCTGAAGCCTATGGTCGAGGGGCTTTCGCCCAGCCCCCAGAGCTGGCACTTTGAACTCGGACTTCTGGCCTCCTCAACTGTAAGAGAATGAATCCCTATTTGTTAAAGCCATCCATCGGTGGTTCTGTTAGAGGACACCAGAGAACTGAAACAATGGGAAACAACAGGAAGCAAACACAGGAAGTAGCTGGGAAGCAGACACAGGATAGAGAAAGTAGGCACAGGCGGCAGGCGCAGGAATTCCTGCCTTTGCCACTGTCTCTGAGCCACCGGCCTCTCAGCTCCCCCAGCTCATCCTGGCTGCTCTCTCTCTATGCTGAGGCCTCGGCCGCCTCGTGGTCCACAATCATCTAAGTGGAGAAGGACCAACAGGTTATCCAGGCCAGTGAGTCCATTTTACCAGTGAGGAAGCGAGAGTCCCAAAGGCCCAGTGAATGACAGGAGGGACAGATGTCCTGCCTCTCAAATGAACAGTCAACCCCACTTCATTGGGTAGTTCTCCACCCTCACAACTGCTACCCACTGGTCTGGTCCCCACAGAGACAGCGAGATCAATACCTGCTGCTGCTCGGAGCAATGGCTGCACAGCGGCTGCTGGTCAGGCCCAGTCATGAGGCAGCCCCAGACGGAGAACCAACAGGGCATCTGCACACCGAGGTGCAGGCTCCTCTTGGGGGGAAGCCCTTGGACAGCACCCCAAGGAGCAGGGTGTATGGGCACAGGCAGAACGATAAGAGGGGCAGAGCATATGATCAACCCTGGCCAAGCAGCAGAACATAGGCCCCTGCCAACCACAGGTGCCAAGTCAGGCCGGAGCCAAGTCAGGCTGAGGCACGTGACGGGAAAAGCCAGCCCTTTCCACCTCCTCAGAGTCAGTTTATGGTTCCAAACTTGCCTTTTCTCTACAGGTCAGACTGCTGACAGACCTACAGAAGAGAAACATCTGTCAAAAAGGCTTTGAAAAACGTCTTTCAACTACACACTGAAGCGCTTTCTTAAATGACAGAACGCTCTCCTGTGCAGAGGTCAGCGACAGGCCTCCCCAGGAATCAGCACCTTGAGGAAAGCCAGTCTTCCCAGAAGCACTGCTAACTTCCTAGTGGAGTTCTCACATCTGAATGCCCCCCCACGTGCCGGGCTCTGCTGTGTGCAGTGGAGCTGGACCTGACTCATAGCGACCCCTCCTTGGGTTTCCGAGGCAGTATCACTACGGAAGTAGATTGCCCAACCTTCCTTCCGAGGAGCGGCTGGTGGGTTTGAACCGCCAGTCTTCTGGTGAGCAGTCAAGTGCCTTCGGCACTACGCCACCAGAGCTCCACAGCTCAGGCGCCAGGGGGCTGTATTTTCAACCTCATGCAGGTGAAGACTTTAGAGGGTTAAGGAAGCCTTTACTCACACTGTGACTCAGAGGACAGGCAAGGCATAGGCGGGGTCAGTTCAAATCTGGGAAGCTGGGGTGGGGGGGGGTCAACACCAGACCAGGAGCTGCCTCCTGGCCAGGCTCACACCTCAATTCAAGACCAACTCCAGGCTGGCCCGGCTCCTTCCCAGTCTCCTCACTCACCACCTGACAGGCTCCTTCCCACGGTGCATCTTCATCGGGGCCACCCTGCTCCATTACCACGGAAATCACTTCCACGGCCTTAGTTCTGTTACCTTCAGAGGTGCTCTAGCTTCCTGCCAAGGGCCTCTGATGGCACAGTGGTTAGGGCATTTGGCTGCTAACCAGAAGGTTAGGAGTTCGAACCTATCAGTTGCTCCATGGGAGAAAGATGAGGCAGTTTGCTGCTGTAAAAATTTACAGCCTTGGAAACTCTATGGGGCAGTCCTACACTGCCCTACAGGGTCGCTATGAGTCAGAACTGAATTGACGGGAGTGGGTTTGGTGTTTGGTTTTTGATCTTCCTGTCTGAGATCCCCCATGATGCTTTCAAGTCCCCAGCCAAGGAGGCCACGGTCTGGGACAGCGAGTCTCTCCCAGGAGCCACCTGACACCAGCCTAGGGAAGGCCCGGAAAGCACAGAGCCTCAGGCAAAGTGAACAACCAAAGCGGCCTCCGCCTCTTTGCTCCCCCACCCCCCACTCTTATGGTACAGATGCAGGTGCTAGTTTTTTTTTTTTTTTTTTTAAAACAAGCCACGTAGCAGGGAGCACTAAGCAGGGCTGGGCCAGTGGAGTCAGGGCACGAATCACAGGAAAGCACGGAGACGCGAACCAGGCACTTCGTGACCCTTGCTGCTTGCTCCAGGGAGTCAGCCGCCTTCCAGGCAGCTTCTGTGAGCTACTAGGAGCGTCCAGTCTAAGAGCATTCTCAACTTAAGACAAAGGATAATCAGAAGTTCAGAAAGAAGGCTGGCTAGCAAATGACCCAAGAGCTCCCAGGCACTCTTTAACTACGTTAAGATCACGCTTTGACCATCTCTGTGCTCTTAGAATGAGGCTCCTCTGCCCAGCAGCATCAGCTTAGAGAAGACGAGGACCGACCTACCAGAGTCTTCCTTAGTCATTTCCAGGTTTTACTAATTAGGCTGCTCCACCCACAGTACCCTACTTCTGAACCTCGAGTGGATTCAACACCTTTCCACCCACTGTCTCCACTTGGCCAAAATCTGCTCTGTAAAAGGTCAGATGGGCTTATTCCCCCCACAGATGAACTGGTCACTCTCAAAGCAGGGTACCCAAGCCAGCAGCAGCAGCAGCAGCAGATCCCCTGCGGACTTGTGAAAAGGCAAATTCTCAAGCCCCACCCAGGCCTGTTGTTGTTGTTATGTGCTGTCCAGTCGTTGAGTCCACCCTCCACCCGACTCAGAGCGACCCCTCCTTGGGTTTCCCAGGCAGTATCACTACGGAAACAGATTGCCCCATCTTCCTTCCGAGGAGTGGCTGGTGGGTTTGAAGTCAGCAGTCAAGTGCCTTAGGCACTATGCTACCAGATACTCAGGCCTACTGCATCAGAAACCTAATCTCTGCGAAGCCCTTCATGTCATCAGCATCAGGTGGCTACAGTCTTGGGAGGCGGGGAGGGGGCCGGGCGGATAGCTCTCCCAATATCATATGGCTACTAAATATGGCTACTAAATATGGCTACTAAACAGAAGGTGGGAGCCCTGGGGGGGGGGGCAGTGGTTAAGTGCTCAGCTGCTAACTGAAAGCTGGCAGTTTGAACCTACCAGCCGTTCCGTGAGAGGACATGGTAGTCTGCTTCTGTACAGATCACAGCCTTGGAAACCCTATGGCACAGTGCTGCTCTGTCCTACTGACTTGCTGTGAGTTGGAATTGGCAGCAATGGGTTGGGTTGGGTTTTTGTAGTTGTAGTTAAGAAGAAGGTGCCTCCTTTGTGGGCAAGCAAAGGAACCTGGTGCTAAATGCAAACACTCCACACCATGCGAGCTTGGCAGACCGACGGGAGCTCAGCAGAGTAACGTGCTCATCTCAGTGTATCCAAGCGAGTAATCCCCATGGAGCACTGAGCGCGGTGCCGCACACAGCAAGTGCTCATTAAACAAGAGCTACTGCTATTGTTTTTGGGGGACACTTTACTTAATATTTTATTGTTTTTCGGTGATGCTTTACACAGCAGTTTAGGTTGCTATTCACAAATCATTCAGTGACATCAAGACATTCTTCATAATGCATGAACATTCTCATTGTTTCTGTTCTGGTTGCTCTGTTTCCACTCATCTAGTTTCCCTACTCCCTTACCATCTCATCTTTGTTTTAAAGTCATTGTTGACCATTTGGTCTCATACAAACGATCTTTTAAAGGGACACAGCACTCATGGGTGAGCTGCTTTATCTTATGGTGACCTCAGGGGCTAGTTTCAGTTCAAAGTTTAAAGAGTATCTTAGGGCAGTAGCTCCAAAGAGGTCTCCAGACTCCAGGTCCTGTAAGTCTGGATTTCTTAAGAATCTGGGGTCTATTTCACATTTTTCTCCCACTCTATCAGCGCCCATCTGTCAAGGCCCTGGTTGGAATCATCAGTAGTGATAGTCAGGCACCATCTAGTTCTTCTGGTCTCAGGGTCCATGAGTCTGTGGTTCATTTCAACTTTTAGTCCTATAGATGTGTTTCTTCTTTGAGTCTCTGTTTCCTTCTTTCTCTTTTGCACTGGACAAGTAGAGACCAAGAGCTTTATCTTAGATGGCTGTTCACAAGCTGACGTTTTTGCTTTTTGATCAGTTATCTTAGTATTATCTCTTTGTCATATTTAACAACAGGCAGACAAGCCAAATCACCAGACACCTCCTAGAATCCAGCTAACCTGCTAACCTAGAAGGTGCACAGGTTACGAAACAAGATCTACCGGACAGACGGCACTAGGAATGTGACCTGAGTGTGTGTGCTCTGAGCAATGGCCGAGCATGGCCCA